TTATTTGGCCTTGATGTGTAGTCTGTTTACCACAATCATTGTAGGCAGCTACTTATAATGAATGCTTTTTCATTTTGATAGACTCTGCCTAGTTGCCATGGTGATAGTCATTATAATACGAGTAAAATAAAATGAAGACCACTGAATGTCCAGAGTAAAATCAATGAGGTAATACCATAAGAGTAAGCATTTACTATTCTTTGGATTTTAGAGCACTGAAAGAAAGTCCCATTTACCCAAAACAGGAGGTAAACCCAGTTTTACATCAATGCACTGGGAAGATATAAAAAAAAAAGTCCAAACACAGGATGATTGAAGGGAAAATAGCGGATGTATATAAGATGTTCTATAATCAAGTGCAGAGTACAGAATAATGCATATGATTTGGGGGTCAGGGGTCAGAAAATTAATTCATTAAAAAAAGGTAAACCTCACTTCCAGGAGTCACTGCACAGTGCTAATGGTTCAACATTAGACCACTAGCCAAAATGTTGGTGGGTCAAACCCATCGCGGCACCTTATAAACTGGGGTTGACAAATCGCTTGTGAAAGATCAGGCTCCACAGCCCAATTGTACTCTGCACATAAGGCAATGCTATGAGTCAGAATCAACTCTATAGCAACTAGCAACAACAATATCCTGGTAACATACATGTTTTCGTACATACATGTGTTTCCCATTGGTTCATCAGCATTCAATATAAACAAAAAGCGCAATGACCATTTTTAAATATACTGTTCACTTGCTGGGAGTTGCAGTGCCACAGTGAGCTAAGTGTTGAACTCATCATTGCAAGGTTGACAGTTAAAACTCCCCAGGCACTCTATGGGAACAAGATGAATCTGTCTGCTCCCAGAAAGACTTACACACAGCCCTTCTGCTTCGTCCTAGACTCAAGGACCTAGAGGGTCATGTTGAGTCAGAATCAACTGGGCGGCAGGGGCCTTGGGTTCAACTACCATTTGGTATTTGGCAAGACAATCAAGAGGAACAGACAATACTCCACAACTTTATTATTATTTCTTTAAAAATGTATTCTCTCCAAGTTCAAACTCTATGTTATCAGATGGGACAGAGAGCGCTGGAAGGAAGGCGTGTGCTCATGTGCTTTCACTCGCTCTTGTTAGCATATGAAAAAGAAAAGGAGAGACAGAGAGAGAAGGCTCTGCTTTGAGGAAACAAAGTCCATAAAGTTTAATCTGTTCACTTACATTGTGAGAAGTTTGTAAATCGATTCCTTACAAGAAGCAGTAATTCTTTTGGATTGAAGATAAATTGGTGAATTCCAAACGAGTACGATACAAAGAGAAACCATTAGCCCTGGCAGTTCATAAACAAAGTGAAAGGCATTACTCATTCCCTGTGCTTGTAAAATAGCAGGATCAGGTTTTGAGAATAAAAGGAAAGCTCACATACATCTTTTCATCCATGTGGGGGAGAAGTGGCTGATTTATGAAAACCAAGATGGCACATTTCCTTAAGAAATGTAAATGCAGGGGAAACACAACTGTTTGGAATCTAATATTGGAGCGAACAAAATCCCAGCTATTATGTTGAGAGACAGAATAAGCTTTATTGTGTTTTTTATTGTCTTAAATCATCTTGCTCTGGTCATTTCTTTCTCTACTGACTACAGGAAGCCTCTGAGGCAGGACAGCTAGTTGATGACGATCAAGATTTTCATTTTTAAAAGGACATATCCCCTGCCCACATGCAGGAAAAAATGTAAAGGCTAGGGATCCTGAAAAGTGAAGCCTTCCCATTGCATTATGGCACACACATCTCCAGCCTCTGAGAATTTATCCGTCCCTTGATCCCTGTCTGTCTCACCCTAGAAATTAACATATATTTTACTTTTCTTACTCTAGCATTAAAAATGCATTGCAATAAATAATATAGCAGGGCTGTGTATAAAACTAAACCTTCCGCATCCTCTTTTAAATGTTTGCTCTTCTGCAGAGTTCCTCTGAGGAAAGCATATTGAAAGGATGAACAGTAATTTAATTTTTTATCATAAGCATTAGTGGCAAATAAAGGACAAATGTACTTTGCAGTGCTGAAGGGAAGTGATGAGATATTCATCAAGGGAAACTACTGCCTTCAGATTGACGGCCAGGTCATGCATATTCTTTTTCTTTTCAAATAGAGGAAATCACAAGATTACTATGCAGACCCTGAAAACATTCTCTATGTATGTCACAAGTAGCAAATAGGTAAGGCTATGCATTGTTGGTGCTTTTAGAGGGATGTCACAAAGGTTTTATTAAAAAAAAGGAGATGCCTAACATCTTGATTAAAATCTCAACAGAAATTTCAGAAACATGTTGTGTTCCAAAGTCTTTGGCGTAAATATAAGATCAGGAAAAAGCTAATGTTTTCAATCCCATTGTTAACTAGCTTTGTAAACTATTAAAAATTCTCTTTGTTTTTACTGTTGCATAAAGGAGTCCAAGTGGTATCATGGTTTACGTGTTGGGCATTTGCACCCACCAAATCCTCCTGGAGAGAGAGGAAAGGCTTTCTCCTGCCTCTGAAACCCAGGTGAGCCGTTCCACTCTTTTGTACATGGTTGCTATGAGTAAGAATCCACTCAATGGCAGTGAGTTTGGTTTTACAGTTTAATGTCATAATCATATTTTACATTAATTTATTTCATTGGACTAATGAAAAGCTTTAAGAAGCGCACATCCACTGCAAGTACAATTCAGTGGAGCAATGCCAACAATCACTGATTTCAAATTTTGCAGCAGAATTGAAAAGAAAGTTTGTTTGTTTCTTTAAAGCTTTTGTTAATATTCCCTAAAAAGAATCCAAATCACTTTGTATTTGCGTGTCACATTTCTTGGCTGTATAAAATTTGGTTCATGAGTAATCAAAATGCATTTAATTGGGAAGAGTTTATGGTCTATGAGGAAATAAAACCAAGTCTCATGTAGTAATAACTCTATTAAACAATAATATCATTAATTGGCTCACCTAGACTTGAATGGAAGGTCTCTGTTTAATTATCTGCCTGACCTTCATTTGTGGACCAGTGCTCAGGAGCAAACTGCAATACTGGCAGCATCCCACCTTTCCAAAACAAGACATTCTCATTTCCTCACCTGGGACTCATTTCTAGTTGTCCATTTATACCCTTGTGAAGTAGTTCCCAGAGTCTCATTAATTTTTTTGACCAAAAGAAATACCTAACTGTTCCATTTATTAAGTTACTAGGTATAAACAATTCAGTAAATATCAGTGTCCTAATGATTTAGTTTCCATAATGTGAAGGCAATACACTATTACAAAAAGTAATAGTGTTGTTTCATTCTTAAATAATGGCTTCTGTGTTTAATAATGGCAACTGTGTCTTGTGTCCTGTTGGTCACTGCACTTCTGGAATAAGATTAGACACTATTAATTTTCATGTGGTACTTGTTTTCCTGAAGGCATTCTGGTAAAACATCATTTCGGTACTCAGCTGCTAACTGAAAGGTCTGGGGTTCAAACCCACCAGTTGTCTTCAAATGTGGCCATCTGCTTCCATAAAGAAAAATGTGGCCATCTGCTTCCATGAAGATTACAGCCTTGTAAACATGATGACTAGTTCTACTCTGTCCTTCAGGATGACTTTTTAATTGACTCAATGACAAGCTTGTTTTGATACTGGCGATAGTTAAGGTTTATTGTGCCAACCTGGCCAATAAACACATGCAGGACTAATTGAAGGGCAGAGAGATAAATAGCTTGGTGAGCCTTGCCTTTGTTTTTCTCGGGTCTCTTGTTCTCTGATAGACCAGTGTGAGGCTGCCTTAGCTAGTTCTCTGCCTCAGCTGGCCAGGCTCACTTCCTGCTAGACTTCCCTGAGGAGAAGCCACATGGACCTACCCTGATGCAGCCTTGAGTGCTGGAGCAGCCGTGTGGAGACCCCTGCCAGTGCTGAGCTGCTTGCACACTCAGGGATTCGGCTTTCCACCTGCAGTCAGCGTTATTGCGTGTGTTTTGCGAGTTTGAGGAGGACTTTGTAGATGGGTGTCGGACATCTGAGTTAATGTCGGTCTTATGAGCTTGGACTGGACTGGACTGGGTTGGGATGCTTTCTTCATGTACACTTACCTTTAATATTAAACTCTCTCTTACATACTTGTGAGTTACAGCAACTGCCAGAAATCCACCTTGTCAAAGACATGACTTGATTAAAAAGAAATGATCAAGAACTAAAAGAAACCAGAATTGACTGGTTGGCACCCAACAGCAACAATCGTAGTTTGGAAGCATTCAACAGATGCACATGCCAGCGTTTCCCTAAAACAGTAAGACATCCCACAGAATCAATCAATCTATCTATCTATCTTTCTATCTATCTCAATGGGAGAGAGACTGAGATTTGGATCCCTTTCCACCAATTACTTCATTCACTACAAATCGTGTCTACCATAGGCACCTCGGCAAATTTAATGGCTATAGCAATGAATAAGACTCGGCTAGGAGGAATTGCTAGAGAAACAATTAGATGATCACAGTGCTACTCAAAAGCTAGAGAAACAATTAGATGATCACAGTGCTACTCAAAAGCAGGGAAAAGTTTATAGACTGTTCAAGGAATATAGGCAAGGAAACTATCTCAATCCGGGAATGCTGAGGAAATATCATATAAATTAAAAGTCTGATATGATGAACAGATAGTTCATATATAGAGATAGATGGCGATAGATATAGATATATGGGTATGGCTCAACATTAATATGTGTGTCCTACTCACTTCCTCAATCCTGTTAAAGTCTCTACATTTGGTAAGTATTGGGAGGACTTACAGCTTTTGACTATTTAAATGAAAAAATAAGGGCGACTTGAAAAGTCTCTGGTAAGTGCTAGACAGCAGCCCAGCCCCGCCCCCCACCTGCTTCGCCCCCCACTGCTCCGCCCCCCCCCCTATCGGCCAGGACGCATGCGCCAAGGGGCGGTCCTGGGCAGCAAGGTCTGACGGGACATAGGCGGCGAGTACCGGGTGGGCAACATGGCGGAAGCCAGAGGGGTTCCGCTGAAGAAGCACAAGAAGAAAAGGGCCCGACAGCCGCCCGCTGAAGAAGATATCGCGGATATACAACATGCCGGGGAGTTCCGTATCGCACCCGAATCCAAAGTGGCTCCGTTGGACACCTCGCAGTGGCCCCTCTTGTTAAAGAATTTCGATAAGCTGAACGTCAGGACGACACACTACACTCCGCTTCCTTCTGGTTCCAGCCCCCTGACGAGGGCGATGGCCGACTACGTCAGGACAGGTTTCATCAACCTGGACAAGCCCTCCAACCCGTCTTCACACGAGGTGGTGGCCTGGATCCGGCGGATACTTCGTGTCGACAAGACCGGACACAGTGGCACCCTGGACCCCAAGGTGACCGGCTGTCTGATCGTGTGCATCGAGCGCGCCACGCGCCTGGTGAAATCGCAGCAGAGCGCAGGCAAAGAGTATGTGGGGATTGTCCGGCTGCACAATGCTATTGAAGGGGGTCCCCAGCTTGCGAGGGCCCTGGAAACCCTGACCGGCGCCCTGTTCCAGAGACCCCCGTTCATAGCTGCAGTGAAGCGGCAGCTCCGCGTCCGCACTGTCTACGAGAGCAAGCTGATTGAGTACGATCCCCAGAGGAGATTAGGACTCTTCTGGGTGAGCTGTGAGGCCGGCACCTACATCCGCACGCTGTGTGTCCACCTGGGTCTGTTACTGGGAGTTGGAGGGCAGATGCAGGAGCTTCGCAGGGTTCGTTCCGGAGTGATGAGTGAACAGGATCACATGGTGACGATGCACGACGTCCTGGATGCCCAGTGGCTGTATGATCATCACAAGGATGAGAGCTACCTGCGGCGAGTCATTTACCCTCTGGAAAAGCTGTTGACGTCTCACCAGCGGCTGGTTATGAAGGACAGTGCGGTGAATGCGATCTGCTACGGAGCCAAGATCCTGCTGCCTGGTGTCTTGCGGTACGAGGATGGCATAGAAGTCAACCAGGAGATCGTTGTCATCACCACCAAGGGGGAAGCCATCTGTATGGCCGTTGCCTTGATGACCACTGCCGTCATCTCCACCTGTGACCATGGCATAGTGGCCAAGATCAAAAGGGTTATCATGGAGAGAGATACCTACCCTCGGAAGTGGGGGCTCGGACCCAAGGCGAGCAAGAAGAAGTTGCTCATCCACCTAGGCCACCTAGACAAGTCCAGCAAGGCCATGGACAGCATACCCTCCGCTTGCGTGCAGGAGTATGTGGACTCCAGTGATTCCGGGGAAAAGGCGGTTTTGAGTGACGTCATGAAAACCCCACGGGCCACGACAGCAACGGGGGGCACCACAAAGCGGAAGCGAGAGCATGAGAGCGACAAAGAGACCTCTCCAGCTGTTCCCCAGCTGCTCAAGAAAGAAAAGAAGAGGAAAAGGGCCAAAAAGGCCAACGCTGCTCCAAGGGAAATCAAGCCTGGAGACGTGGACAGTCGCACAACCAGAAGGAAGAAAGAGAAAAGAGTAAAAGAAGCGGGCTCTGAATAGGGCTGGCTGCTTTGTAAGCTGTGGCCTGGTTTGGGAGGGGGGGCGGGGTTAAGAAATAAAAACCTTATTGAGAAACCAAAAGAGAAAGTGATATACAAAATACTTGTAGGACAAAGCACAATATGTAAACTTAAGGGGATCCTCCTTTGAAATAGCGTTTTTAGATGCTTTGAGAAAGGATAACTGCCCCTTGGGAATAGAAGAATCTAGTTTCATCAGTTTGCTGAAAACAATCTTTCCTAGGAAGACTATCTCCAAACGCATGGTTTTGTTTTTATTTTAGAGTTTAACATCACGTATGTATGTCCATTTAAGTGTGTGATGACTATACCAGATGGCATCTTAATTTCTTTTCCTTCCGAAGGGTATTTCTGTTTGAAAAATCAGTCACTCCGTTAACTATACATTTTATAAGCTTATTTTCTCTGTCCATAAAGTTGTAAATAATTGTCAATACTGATATTCTCTTTCCTTTCCAGGTGTTTACACTGTGGAACTTAAAGCACTGATGATGCCCAGAGTCTCACTCAGCACATACTCCAAAAAGCTCTCCTGACCAGACATGGAGGATGCGTATCATCTGCCAAAGCTCTAGACTTGGATCTCTGTAAACACTGTACAGTCTCCTCTAAGGGAACCGAAATTTTGGTGCCAGTTCCTATGACATGCTGTTAAAAATTAGATTATATTCTTCATAGTTTGTTTGTTGTATCCATTGAATCCATATATAGTATTTTCGTTATTTCTAAATGAGGATACTGAGATCTTGTTTTCTTTATATTGAGGTAAAATTCATAATGAAGTGCGTAGTTGTTTTTTCACACCTCTTCCCTTTCAGCTAGTAAGGTCCCGTCATCTGCAAATTGCAGATCGTGAATGAGCCTTCCTCCAATCCCAATCCCACACTCTTGTTCATGTAATCTGGATAATTTGCTCAGCAAAACGACTGAGTTGAGTGTATGATGCTAAAGAGTCCAACTTTCCTGATTATAAATACCCTTTTAAATATTTTGTAAAAGTAAACCATTAAATATTCTTTTGTATTATTTGAATAACTACTTCTTGGTCTATGTACAGGTTACTCATATACACAGTTCTTTTGGTTTTATCATTCTTTCCAGTGGTATCCATAATCTGTTATGATACAGATAACCTAATGTTTTTGTACAGTGGATAAAACACAAGTAGACATCATTGTTATATTCCCTCATTGTACTGAAGATCCATCTGATATTAGTAATCATGCTACTTGGTCCAAATCCTCTTTTGAATCGGTTCAACTCATTTGATCATACAGCTACTGTATGCTCAAAAGCAACTTTCAGAGTCTCTTCCAATATAAATTTTTTAGTGCATGTGCAACCTGCATTACTGACAGAGTCCCAGCAAGCAAAGAGGGCAAAGGGGCAGATAAGGAGTAGTTCTCAGTATAGTTCTTATTTAAAAGGCCACACCCTTAAGGAGGGACCCTCAGGCTGTGACCTGATTGATGGCTGAACTCCACCCTTACACTTTCACACAGGTGCGAGTTGACTTAAAATCTAACTGCCATAGCATCCTAAGGGCATTTAAAACTGCTCCGCTCATGACCAAATATGTTTGTGTCTTCAAGATTTAGCAATTTCTTTGTAACAACCTTATTAAACTTGGTTTCATTCTTATTGAAACTAATTCATTGTGCATAGTCTTAGTCTCGTATTTTTAAACCTTAAATACACTGACATCTATGATTTAAAAGCACCTCAAAGTCACCACTGATCTTTTAAACTGTCTCTATTGAGGTTATTCTAGACAAAAGAGAACATGCACACTAAGGGCCTAAAATACTTGTTCAATAGCGGTCAGTGGTTCCAGAAGGTGGATCTATAGACAAAGCATTCTTCAAATGATACCTTTAAAAAGAAAAGCACACACACGCAAGCAATTTTTAAGAGTTAGCAATGCAAATGAGTGGATTCAGATTTGAGGGTTTTACTACTTAAATAATTCATGGAGGCAGATCCTAAAATGATCCAGCAGATACTGTGCTCATATCTAAGCAATGCTGCAGAGATCTTAAAAGGTAATGTACTTCGGAAGTCCAGCTTTTGGGTAAGAAATGTCAAAAAAGATAATCTTAATACAAATACTCCATCATCCGTACAGAGAACAGTCTACATGGAGAACAAAGAAAAAACGGAATTAACAACAGATTGCAGGTAAGATCAGCTTCAACCAACCTGATGTTTTTGAGATGTTAAAGTCCGTCAATTGTCTAGAAAGAGATGAGTTAGCATTTAGGAGAGAAGTGCCAGCTGGTTCAGTCTTACATGATTGTAATTATGAACACATGTTTTTTTCTAGTAACAAATTGTTTACATTTTGCCACATTCTTCCTAAATGATTTACATTCTTACTTTCTGCCTCTTACAAATGTGTGCTGGACCCATCATTCTTGGGTCTGACACAGTGCTTTGAGTTGAAAATTTTCCATTTTACATGTATATTTTTTCACACAGTAACACACACACTGTGCAATATTTACCCTAGTTTCATAATATTACAGATGATTCAGGCGACCTTACCTCTACTTCCAGAACCTAAAATTGCCTTACCCTTTCTTGGTTCTTTCATGCGTAGCTTGACCATGATTTGAGTCCATAAGCCTATTCCTGTAGGCTGGAGAACTGGTCGCTAACCGCAAGGTTAGCAGTTTGAAACAATCAGTCACTCTGTGGGAGACAGCCGAGGCTTTCTACCACCATCAAGAATTGTTGTTGCTAGGAGTCCTTGAGTCAGTTCTGACACATAGGGAATGAGACATTTCCCAGTCTTGCACCATCTTCCCAGTTGTTCCTATGTTTGAGCTCATTGTTGCAGCCTCGGTGTCAATCCATCTTGAGGGCCTTCCTCTTTTTCACTGCCCGTCTGCTTTACCAAATACGACGCCCTTCTTCAGGGACTGGTCTCTCCTGACAGCATGTCCAAAATATATAAGACCAAGTCTTGCCATCCTTGCCTCTAAAGAGTGCTCTGGCCGTACTTCTTCCAGGACAAATCTGTTCCTTTTAGCAGGCCATGATACTTCCAATCATCTTCTCCAGCACCACAATTCTAATGCATAAACTCTTCAGTCTTCTTGATTCAATACCTAGCTGTCACATGCAAATGAGGCAATTGAAAATACCATGGCTTGGGTCAGGCTCCCCTCAGTCCTCAAAGTAACATCCTGGCTTTTCAATACTCTAAAGAGGTCTTGTGCAACAGATTTGCCTAATACTATACTTCTTTTTATCTCTTGACTGCTGCTTCCATTGAGCATTGATTGTGGAACCAAGCAAGACAAAATCCTTGATAGCTTCAACCTTTTCTCCATTTATCATAATGCTACCTATTGGTCCAGTTGTGAAGATTTTGGTCTTTACATTGAGTGGAAATACATTCTGAGGGCTGTAATCCTTGATTTTCATCAGCAAGTGCATCAAGTCCTCATTGCTTTCAGCAAGAAAAGTGTGTCATTTGCATATTGCAGGTTGTTAATAAGCCTTCCTCTAATCCTAATGCCACATTCATCTTCATATAAGCCAACTTATCTCTTGATTTGCTCAGCGCGCACATTGAATAAGTCTGGTAAGAACAAGTATGGTGTATTAGTCTGGGTACTTTGGAGAAACAAATCCACAGCAACTCATGTATAAGAGAGAGTTTTATGCAAAGAAAATGTGCATCACGAAAACATCCCAACCCAATGCTGCCCAAGCCCACAAGTCCAACATTAACCCATACCCAACACCAGTCCACAAAGTCCTTCACCTCACAAAACAGAGGCAATAATGCCGACTGCAGGAGAAAAGCTGAGTCAGTGAACGTGTAAGCATCTCAGCACTGGCAGGGGTCTCCACACGGCTGCTCCAGCACCCAGGGCTGCATCGGGATAGATCCATGCGGCTTCTCCTTGGGGATGTCTTGTAGGAAATCCATCTTGCAAGCTGAAGCAGGGAACTGCTAAGGCAGCTGCACCCGATGCAACCATCACAAAACAAGAGACCCGAGAACTAGAAAGGTGAGGCTTCACCACCCATTTATCCCTCCGCCTTTCAACCAGCACCACATGTGATTATCGGCCAGGCTAGCACAATTAACTAACTCATATGGTAAGGGAATACATCCCTGATACACACCTTCTTGATTTTAAATCATGCAATATTGCCTTGTTGTTTTCTCGGAAGTGCCTCTTGATCCATGCACAAATTCTCCATGAGCACAATGAAGTGTTTTGGAATTCCCATTCTTCTCAAGGTTATCCATAGTTTGTTATTATCCACACAGATTAGTGCCTTGGCATAGTCAATAAAGTACAGGTAAACACCTTTCTGATATTCTCTGTTTTCAGACAAGATCCATCTGACATCAGGAATGGTATCTCTTGTTCCATGTACTTTTCTGAATTTGGCCTGAACCTCTGGAAGCTCCCTGTCAATGTAATCTTGCAACTGTTTTTTTTAATTCATTTATTTATTTTGATGCAACTGTTCTTACATGATCTGTAGTAAAATTTTATTTGCATGTGATATCAGTGATATTCTATAATTTGAGCATTCTGCTGTGTCTCCTTTCTTTGGAATGGCTATAAATATGGATCTCTTTCAGTCAGTTGGCCAAATAACTGTCTTGCAAATTTCTTGCCATAGACAGTTGAGTGCTTCCAGTGATTCATGAGATTTTTGAAACATTTCAATTGTATTCCATCAATTCCTGGAGCCTTGTCTTTGCCCAATGATTCCAGTGCAATTTAAATGTCTTTCTTCAGCACCATTGGTTCTTGCTTATATGCTACCTCGTGAAATGGTGGAGTGTCCATTACTTATGTTTGTTACATGTCAAGAGTTACAGTCTCAGAAACCCACAGAGCTAGTTTTACTTTGTCCTATGAGGTTGCTATGAGCCAGTATAATATTGATAGAAGTGAGTTTGGTTTGATATCCTGGGAGACTCTATTCTACCCCAGAATAGTTTTGCAG